AATATGCATCCTCATTCATCCTGACTTTTTTTGTGAAATCTCCATCTTTTAGTCTCAAAACTACATGTTGTGGTCTTTCTTTTATATATTGCGTTATGACATTTTGTGTAAAAAAAACATGTATGGGATGGAGAAAAATGGATGCCATTTTCGGATTTAGAATACAGGAATTACCATAGAACATGTAAAAATTTCAAGGCAAGAAACCATTGCAGGCCTGTGTAATTACTGGATGAACTGATGAGATTTGATATTTCTTGAAACTAGTTTTCTGTCAGCCATGGCATGGTTTTATTACCTAATCTGAGGTAGAGAGTTTACATCTTATACAACTGTGTGTGTGTCATGAACAGTCATTTGTAATGAGAAGATGTAACTGTTTGTCAAAAAACCCAATAAGAATGATATCTTCTGTTTTCTTGAGTGGCACAAACATAGATTATTTACCACTTTCAATTCACTCAACCTAATTTTGCATCTTTTTTTTTTACATTTTATTTCTAAAAACAACTTCAATGTATTATGGTAATGGTAATTGTGATATTTCGTCTTTAATTCTAAGCATGTCTGTGATGTCAATACAATAAAATAATTTGTTGGATAGGGGTGTATAAAAATGTTCCTCAAGGTTGACTCGAGTCACTAATTAATGGATATTTCTATACAATATTTTTTCTTTTCTCCTGCTGCCTTCTTCCTGTTTATTATGTTATATGTTTCTAATTGGTTTATGCCACTTTAAACTAATTTTGAATTAAAGGAACTATATTGTACATGATTCCTGACTCAGCTAGCAGTAACTGAACATTGAAAGCCAGAATGATAGGGAAAAAAATGCATGAAGTATTTACGTAATATAATTGAGAAACAGTGAAGTATAATAATCTGTAGAGTTGTGTGATCTGAGTTGCAAAGTATTCTATTAATATATACAGAACTGTTAGAAGTTGTGTAATTTTTAACCCTTTCAGAAACAAATAGAATATTTATCAATGATAGAAATACATTACAGTCAGTAAACATGAAGTAGCAACTTTTTAAAAATTTGGTCTACAGTTCAATGATGATGTGAGATTGAGGCTATAGAACGTCTATTTTTGCATTAAGTCTGTATGTAAGAAAAGTTATATATATACAGCCAATATATAAAGTGTTTTCAGTGACTAATCTATGTATTCGTTGGTTTGTTTTTATTCAGACAGATTGGAAAAGACATTAGCAACACCTTTACAAAGCTGGAAAAACTAACATTATGTAAGTTTACATAGCATAGATCCAATATAATCAATAAAGCAGACATGAAGTTTTGAGTCTAGATTTTCTATTTATAGAGAACTTAAATACAACCTGCATGATGTTCAAACCTACAACCTGCATGATGTTCAAACTTGTTCAGTTAAGTGCTATATGTGAACAAGTTTGAACATCATGCAGGTTGTAGTTAAGTTTTCTATGTTGTCACATATAGCACTTAACTACAACCTGCATGATGTTCAAACTTGTTCACCTATACAACTGCATATTTAAACAAACTTTGGTGATTTAGTGAACATTGAAAATGAAATGTATGTGCAAAGTGTTAACTGAAGTAAATTAATTAAAAAACAAAAGGGAAATTACCTTCTACTTCAGAAAGAAGTAATACTGTATTTAAAATACCAGTATTGTGACTCGCATCTTTATCAGAGTACAATGTAATGCAAAGACTAAGTACAACTGATGTAAAATTAGTATAACATGTACAAACATTGTATTAGATCTAATATAAATTTTGTCATTTATGAAAACATAATAATAACAAAGGATTTTAATATCTTTTATGTTCACATATTGTGATAATATAGCTTAAAAAATTTTAAATCTATCGTTACACAACAGAGCTTAATCTAAGACATATTGTTAAAACTAGTGAACCCATGGCTCACCTTAATGCAAATTTAATTCTTGAATTACTACTATTTTTCACTTCTTGAGTTTAATGATCATTGCCACTATAATGCAACTTTAATATCTTTAACCAAGTTACGAATGGTAATTTGTAGGCCTTCTTATTTACGTTCTCTTATGTAAATCAATTCCAGTTTTGATATTTTGGTAAGGCCTCATTTGGAGTATTGTTTTCAATGTTACTCCCATTACTGAAGAAAAAATTGATTTTATTTTTTAATTCAGAGAAGAGCAACTAAAATTATTCCTAGTTTGAAACATTTAAGTTTTAAAAAGAAACTCAAATATTTGAACTAATTTCTCTGGGATGTAAAAAAAACAAACAGAGATGTCTTGATTCAGGTGTTTAAAATCATCAAGGACTTGAATAAACTGTCCATAAAAGGTGTTATGGAGTGTTGAAAGAATAAGGTTGGAAGTAACTTCCTGAATATTAAAGGAAATAAGTAAATGATATGGAAGCCCAGACCGATAAGAATTAGCAA